CCAAAATGAAGGGTGCTTAATTCTTCACTTTCTTCTGCATTCTGCAGGTCCCATAACAACAAACTGCAGTCTACAGCTTCTTAGAGTTCAGCGTGTTAACCTAACACACGAGCAAGAATCTGGTTGTCTGAAAATTTTTAATTAAGAAGCCAGATGTTTTTAGTCAGGTTATCCTGACAAGACTTGATGCAAACTGCGTTTTTATTGGTCACAACAGTCAAATTATATTCTTGGCTTATTTTGTCCAAAGGACAAAGAAATAAAAATCAGCAGCACCACTTTCTTGTCAAGATCAAATTGTTGTACTATTGTGGCAGAAGCAGGAAAACTTTGTTTTGTTGAAGGAGAGAGAGAAAGAGAGCAAGAAAAAAAGATACAGTAAATGGGGTCACGTTTAACTCCATGGAAATGCCACGTCTGTTCTTCAGTGAAGAAGCTGGTTTAAAGTCCACACAGAAAACTTTGACTGTATTTATTTATTGTTGCAAAAAAGACGCTTTTTTATTGCTGCCCTCATTTGTCAGCTAATTATTTTTTCTTATAAAATCCAGCCCCGGTTACATGTAATCCATTCTGTATCTTAACATGATTCCTGTAGGTAAAAGTACAAGAAGACCTCTAGATGTCTTTTCTTTCTATGAAAGGAGCTGCTATGTACACATGTGCACACACACAGAACTGGGAATCAACAATGAGTTTATCATTCATGGTAGATAAAGCTTGCATAAAAGTTGGGCTAAGTGGTCACGGACTACAGACTCTGTTGCCTTGAATATAACAGTACAATTTGTCATTTACTCTGCACCAGACTGAAATGAGTAAAATCTATTTGAAGGTATCTTGTTTGTAAACATTTGTCAGATTCTAATTTTTTTCTTTTGTATTAAAATTCAAAATATGGATGTATATGAAACAAAATAAATGGAGATAATTGTTCTCCCCACAGATGTAGGTGTCTTTGAGTGTGCACTAATATGTTTGTAACACTTTGGGGATCTGTTCAGCAGTCTAGATGTTTCAGGTAATAGGGGAGGGAAGTGGCCAGGGAGATCGGACTTGGTTTTGCTCCAAAGGTGGCGTTTCCTACGTTTCATTCGGCAGCAGCTGTGACCCCTTTGTAATGTTTCTACAGTGGTGCCATAACAGATGACCTGGTAGGAGGAAGCACTTTGGGAAGTGGCACTGCCCACCGCTGGATGAAACGGTAGTTTGCCAAGTGCCCCAGGAGCGTGGAGCGCCCGGTGTAACTGTGTCTTTGCAAGGCGTCTGGGCTGCTCCGTCGCTTCCCGGGTGCGGAGCGCTGCGGTGAGGGCTCGGCTGCAGCCACCAGGAGATGCCCGTGGCAGGTGACAGTGTTCCTTTCCCATCTATTGCTTTCATGCCGCGTGTGTTGGTGACTTGCTCACGTCGCCAGTCGTAGTTAATCGGCCACGGTTTGTGCGCGGCTCTTCAGCCATCTGCCCAGCTTTTGCACTAACTCACGTTAACTTCTGTTCCACAGTGGTCTGGGATTTACCCGATTTAGGGACAAGCTCCTCTTGGGTTTAACCTCACACCTTGCTATGCAAGAACCTCTTCTGTTGTTTTTCTTAAGAAGATGTTGCTACTGACCACACTTTCTTACACTTACAGGCTCAGGTGTACAGGTTCTTCTGGGGTAACTTTATCTAATAAAAACACGGGGGGTTTTGTACATACAAATGTTGTCATTTAACCTATATGTGAAAATTAAAACAGAATTGTTCAATGTGAAAACAGTAATCCATTTATGCTTCTTAAAGTTAAAGAAGAGTAGTTGCATTTAGGTTATGTTGTCCTTTGACGTTTAAAAAAATGCTGCATATTGTGGTTTTAATGCAACAAGGAAAAATATCAACTTTTAACAGCATTTGAACATATCCTGCATCTCATCAAAACTTCACAGTATTTCTGTACTATTTATTCATATATAAATATATATGACATGATTTAAAACTTTCCTACCTGTAGGCAATAGATTGCTATGTTTTTAACAAATTGTGGCAAACTGGACAGTACGTTTTTGTACCTTATAGGACACCTCATCCTAGACAAATAAAGTAATGTGTTTGACATTGATTTGGTGGTGTTTCTAATGAAACATTTGATAATGTTACCGCATAGAGGTCTGGGGTTTGCCAGATTATATGTAAACGTTGATTAGGGAAGAATCTGTACACACAATTTAATTGTGGGGGTTTTAGTGTTTTCAGTTACCATTGAGTAGGTCAAAGTACTTTTCTTGATTTATTAGTGGTGATCTTTTATAGTTAAATGCTGTTACTGAAAATACATCACTCGTTATTAATACCCACCTTTCTTAAAAGCAGGGTAAGCTCCTGTAAGATTTGTGGTCTCTCCAGTCATCTTTTTTTTTTTTTTTTTGGTGTATTTATAAATTATTGCAACATTTGTTTCAAAATGGTCGTATATTGTAATGCAGATTTTGATAACGTGAGCTATACAAACTTGGTTTTCTTTTTGTCTCCTCAAATTTGAAGCAATTCTCCTCAGTCTAGGTTTAATTCATGCAAAAGTTAATGGGGATTTAAAGTAGAATAAGAAGTTGGGCTTACCCAAAAGCCTTGAGTAAAGCCCTGGAGAGACTGGAAGACAACAATCCTCCTGTACCCCTGGATTTCTGTGTATTGGCTGCAGAATGTTCACGCTTATCCTGCTGGGCAAAAAACGATTTACTGTAAGGTACCAAAATGACCGCGGAAGCTATCACATGCAGGTGCCGTCGTCTCTTCCGCGTGGTAAATGCTGTGAGGTTTTTGTAATGGCAACTGCGAGACTGTGGAATTCCACTTGATCTAGGAATTTCTTTTCTTCCGTACATTAGTCAGCATGTGTAGGACTGGTAAAAATAAGAGCAGTCATTAGGCTCCTGCTCCGGCTGTATTTCAGTTGGGCTGTGAAGCAGTGGCTTGTCGCTCCACTGCTGTGGTAACACTTTAAGGAGTGACCTCCCCAGCAAGAGAGGACAGGTGAGAGGGCGTCGTAATGCCAAGAGAGAACACGGACCCAATGGCTCCCCCGGCCTGCTTCGAGAGCAGCGGCTGCATCGGAGAGCAGTGCAGGCGCTGGGTGTCAGTTACGGGCGTTTTACTGGATATACACTGGTGTTAATCTTTTCCGAGAGACGATCAAAATGAGATCTCGCTGTGGATGTTATTTCTGTACCCACGCTTTGCCTGGTTTAGATTATGATAATGTCTTGGGGGCGGGGAAGGGTGATGAATTCCTGTTCTGGGCAAATGGATACTGTAGGACTTGCTGGTTAGTCCCTGGGCTTCAGTTGAAAATAGAACCAAAGAAACTTGAGATGCTCATGTAACCCTTCCTCCTTCCTCCTGTCCCTCCCAGTCCCCTCCAGAGCTTTGATTCATTGCCAGGAACAGTCGTTCTGCCAAATAAAAGCCCCCTTAAAGTCTCTCAGGAAAATTCCATCTATGGATGCTGCGCTCCATGCAAAATCTTTCATGTAACACAAGTGAGACAGCGTATTTTTTAGATAGACACAAGCTACAACTCAATTTCTGTCCTAATGTTACAGACTTTTGGGTTCCAGGATATATGCTGTTTGCTCTTGGTATTTGGCTTCTGTTCCATATCAAGAAATACTCCATAGGGTGTGACTTACCACCCATCCACTACTCTGCAGCTTTTCAGTGACACTGAATCAAGCTGCAGACGTGTATGATGGGCAGAACTGCGGTAGAACTACCTTTGCTTCAGAAGAGAAAATGGTTATAAAGCCACTGCTTCCTGTTCCAGGTTATATATCACGGTGTGTACATATATATATATATGTTTTTTGGGTTTTTTTTAAAGCTAGACTGCATTTTACCATTTTTTAAATCTATATCTTAAAACCCCCAGCCAACTTGTCAACCAAGCAGATGCCTTTGTTTAGTATCATTACATAAGCTTTTTGGATCTTCCAGAACCCAGGAGACAGTGAACCCAGAACCCCATGAACATTTTATTAGTTTCTTTTAAAGACTTGTGATTTGTACATGCCGACTCTTGGAACAGCCAACATTAAGATCCCCTTTGCAGCGGTTTCATAGGTTCTTATATCCCACCGCGTTAAAGGTACTAAAAGATTGTATCTTTGATTCAAAGTAACTTTACTGATGTGCAAGTAGAAAGTTGGTAATGTTTCTCACGGGAAAATGACATTCAGTACAGTTCTAGGACTGGACTTTTGAGGAACTGACAGTGTAACCAGGCATACAAACTGTGCGTGCAGTGGCGGGCTCATTTTGCATTCCTTGGCATGAACGTGCGCTGTTATTTGTAAGCCTAATTGGGCATTATTTGTTGTGCAGTCACTTGATTTGCTTTCAGTTAGTGTATTTGTACACTCAAATAATTACATAGCTGGTTTGTGTGCTTCATGTGAAAATCCAGCCCTGTTGAAGAACAATGTAATTTTTAAAGTACCAAGGACGTGTTTGAGGATACCAAAACAATACAAATGACATGTAGTTTTGTTGGTTTCTTTTGAAGCAAATGCATGTAAGGCACTATTGTGTGAAAACACAGTGGACGTCCTCTATAGATAAAGCTATGGTGTCATCCAACACTTGTTCAAGGTTAAGGGTTTGAAAGTGCAGTTACTTCTCGTGTCCCTAGAACAATGCCTCCGCAGTTGTACTTTACAATTACTACAGATTGTTAGGGGTACGTTACAGCAGGGGAGGCAATAATAACCTGTGGCTCTGAAAGTGGCTGGAGCAAATTCATGACCAGTTAATGCTCCCTAGACTGACTTTTGTGCTAAACTGCACGACCGATCGGTACGTAGTCAGCCGTTCAGCCAGGGTTTGCTAAAGCACAAAAGAGAGTGTCCTACCCCAGCCAGCTCCCGAGGGGAGGAGAGCTACCTCCTGCTTTTGCTAAACCACGGCCGGGGTTGTTCTGGTAGGTGAATTCTGCTGCTGCCTGTGTCCCAGACGGGGGTTACTGGAGCCTTATCTACATTTAGCGTGAGCCGCTTGCACTTTGCGATTCCTCTTCCTGTTGAATCTCTTCACGTAGCTGCTGCTGCTTCGAAGCAAGCCGTCCCCCGGCCTCAGGCGCCCTCGCAGGAACTGCAGCAGGTTGGCAGGGATCTGTCGTCTCTTGTGGTAGATCCGACCCATCACAATGTATCTACTGCCTGCAAAAGAAACGAGACCCTGCGCTATGAAGAAGGGACGGATTCGTTACTACCCTCGCTCTAAGGGCCACATGTTGATGAATAGATGTGAAGTTGTACCCGGCAGAAACGCCTCCTGAACGCTTGGCTCAGTACAGCGGCACCCTGAGCTGCAGTGGGACTTGTGGGTCGTGCTTGCACAGAAATAATGATTTGCTGTGTTGTACTGCAATTAGAAGCGTTTTGAGGGAAATACTGGTATTTGGTAAACTTGCATTTAGAAGGAAAACTGGACTACTTTCAAAGACATCACCTTAAGCTCCTGCTTCTGTTTTTTTGGCAATCCTGAAAATCCCTGCAATTGTTTTGGCACTTGATAAAGTTAAGAAAGGACTACGCTGCTATCCAACGTCTTCACACAGTTGGTTCTCTTCTGAAAACTGAGAGACACTGGGGTGGGGGGAGGTCTCCAGTTGAAGAGTAAACATGTGGGGTTTTTTTTCCAAGAACCCAGGATAAGCCTATTAAACTAGGGCAGACTAAAATGGCACTGCATGCAGGAGGAATAGTGGAATGGATTTAGCTGGAATTATTTACCAAGTTTAAAGTCTGGACAGGGTTTACTGCAGTTTAAAGTATCCACAAGTAGAATGTGAACTCGAAAGAAGAAGCCATCAGGAGTAATATACAGGCGACTCATCTTGTATAATCCATCGCTGTTTACCAAAAGAGTAATCAAGTGGACTCCATTCCCCAGGCTTTCCATGTTATAAACAATTCCGTTCACTGCTGTTTAAGGGAAAGGGAGGGGGAAAAAAAAAAAAGGCAAGCATCAGAATACATATTTTGGTGGCAACTCAGGCTGTATGTGAAGGCTCTCATTTAAAATGCTGTACAGTAACTGTCAGCAGAAATTCTTTGGCTCAGTAGTGGGCAGTCCTGAAAGTAGGAGTCGCTTCAAATCATCGCATTTGATGAGCTCATCACCTTAGTGTTTGTTGAGTTACTAACCTTAACGCTTTACAGCTCTGAGATGATTCTTAGCGAAGTTTATAAAATGTTTCAAAAGAAAGTGATGTTTAGTAGTGTTTTCCATCCTGATATGTACAAAAAGTGGACTTATTTACCTAACAAAATTTTCAAATTCAAAACTTCAGAGTGAAGTGCAAAGCTAACCCATTAATAAAACGCTTCAGCTTTTGAAAGAAAAGGCCCTCGTCACGCCAAGCAGCAAGGGCACCAAGTAGGCCATGTTGTACGCTCAGACAGTCACTTCATGCTGTCCACCCAACTTCTGGTTTTGACAAGTGCCGAGCTGACTGCAGGAACCAGAAACCAAGAGACGTGTTAGGCAGGTAAGGCAAATGGGACTTGTGACTGGCGGTACGCCTGCCTCACTGAGAGCTTTGATTCAGTCGTTTATTCTTTAACCTGCACTGTAAACGTACGGGAATGTAAAGCGCTCTGATCGCCACAGTGGAACCTTGGTTGATCCATTGCTCAGACTGTCTTTTTCCTACTTGTCTTTTTCAATTTAAGAGATGAATGAGACGGCTGTTGGTTAAAGGCTGAAATATGCAAAGGTCGGGTCGCTATAAGGCTACGTTTGACAGGAATGCGTGAGAGTGGTAAAGAAGAAAGAATATAGCATTTGTAGAAGGCACTTCCTGACTTCTCCATTTAGAGAAAACAGATGTCTTGTAACGTGTTTATATTCTACAAATGGAAACATCTGTTACCACTAGGCGTGTATTTTGCTTATCTTTTAAAATACTGTGAGAAAAAGTTGGTATCTGTTTCACAAATTCATAAGCGCAAGCGGGATTTCAGTCAGAAAATGCTTGCTCTTGAATAGTCAGTACAAAAATGCCAGGCTCTTTTCTACCACCTTTAGCTACATCAACTTGGACACAAGGACTAAAAGACAAGAGCCCTAAGGAAGTTCAAGGAGAATCCTCTATACAGAGAGGATCACAGTTTTGGTTTTGTTTGGTTCACCATTTTATTTTCACTTGAAACTTCAGGCCCCAAAAATCACAAACTCGCTCTAAATAGAAAGAGGTAAGTAACGCGGCTACGTTTAGTCTTGGAGTATTGATAACAATTGGTCTTTGCAGTTCTGTTGACCAGCAGCAACTGTCTTCCTCCCAGGAGTGGAAAGTAGAGGAAACAGGGAAAAGAGCAATACTAGCCCAAAGGATAATGTAAGACTTGGTACCGTTTGTCGCAGTACATTTATAAAGAGCTGTGCTGGGTCTTTTCAGTGTACCTAGTAATTAAACATACTCGATGAAACCGTATCTTAAAAGCAGGAGTGAAACGTCAGTAATGGACAAACGAAGAAGGGCTGTGTTCTGTGTGGTTCGCTGATGGGACAACTTACCGAATTCACTTGCACAGTAGGCCTCCGCTTCGTCTCTCTCTTTCCAGCACTCGGTCAGACAGGCCTTCTCCTTATCAGCATCTAGAACAGGTAGACAGACTGAGGGACAGCGACAGGCCCTTTGGGGAGATTTCATCCAAATTATGCCACCCAACCTTTCGAAAGTTCGCGCTACCCCTTGCCAGAGCAGTCTATCCCCTTACCTTTCTTGAGCGCGCCAAAGTGGTACGGCGAGCTGGATGACTGGCGGTTGGTGACCCAGGAGGGTTTGGTGATCTTCTTCAAAGGATCAGTATGTTTAGAGGGGATTACCTTGCCTGGTCGGTTGAAGTGATCCAACGTGTTAGGATCATCCGACTCCGCTGCTCCAGAGTCTGGAAAAGGATGAGCCTCCACTAAGGACATGATCCTTTGAAAGGAAGACGCGGCGTGATGGAAGTGAGCCGACACGCTGTTGGCAGCCTCAGCCAGCCGTCTATCCGCGAGCTTTCGGTTGGCGTGGTTGAAGTCCATGGAGGCAGGAGAAGCCCCCTCAGTCGGGCTCTCCAGAGGCAGGGCCCCTCCATACTGCAAGAGGCGTTTCCTCAGCCCTGTGCTGTTTTCTAGAGAAGGCTTGGTGCGTTTCTTTTTGTCTGATGAAAGGGAGATGACTTGAGGAGGTTTTGGCCGCCGCAGGTCGGCGGGAGGCCGAAGCCAGCGGTCTGTGTGCTGCTGGTGCCCCGGGCTGGCAGTTTGCCTTGGCCGGGTGCAGCGTCTGCTAAACTGTAAGCACCTTTGCTGAGAGTCTGACCGGGTTTCTCGGCATAGGGCAGGGATCCTATGTACAAAGAGAGGAGAGAGCGAATTAGCATTTTTTTTTATTCCGTGTGTTTCTGAATGGGAAGTGCCTGGCAGATGTGAGGCTGTAGTCCGTAAGTGAGGCCTTCAACAGTAAGACAGTATAACTGATAAGTAGTTCAACAGATGAAATATAGTAGAGCTCCTCATTCTTCTGTACTCGGACACAGAAGGCCCAGTACGGAGAATGCAGCTGTGTGAGCAAAACACAGGAGATTTGCATTTTTACTTTATTATTGTTGCAAATTAAAAACATGACTTATAAACAAACCCTTTTCTCAAAAGCCTGAATCTCCAGGGAGCATCGGAGGAAGCAAGGTTCACATTGCCATTTGGGATGCTTGTTTAAAGACCATGACAACAGAACTATTTGATTTTCCCATCCATGGGATGCCTTATTGACCATGTCATCTGGGCTCTTCAGCGGTTTGGGGCTTTGAACGCTACTGAAAAGATCTTTATCCACAGTTTTGGGTCTCTGACTTTGGCTGTGCAGTTGTATAGTAGCAGTACCACAGCCTGGTCGCTAGGCTATTGCCGCTGCGTAACAATTATTTCAAGGCTTTTCTTAAGTTGAGAGGACAATGGTCGAGAGAGAGAGGAAGTGCCTGGGAATCTAGTGAAAAATGGAAAGGCTTCATGATGTTGTTCACGCAAGCTGGACGGTCACCTAGACCTTCATTTACACCTTCGCCTCGATCACTCGGATCTCACAAAGCAAAACAACTTTCCGTTTAGCCTGGGCAGAGAGAAATTCCCTCTTACAGTTCATTTTCCTTTCACTTTAGCCCTTCACTGCATGCCTTTAGTTAGCCAGCACAGTTTTAAAACAGTTCACCCACACACAGCCACTGTCTGGGTGTTCACTGTCTGTGGTTAGCATCGTGTAGGAGGCTGATCCTAACTCCTTCTGTGAAAAGAGATACTTGACATACACAGATGAACAACGTCCTGGTTTATCTTCTATAACTGAGTCAACTGCTGACCTTGCCATTTCTTCCCCTTCGCTCTCACCAGCTGCTGTCATGGGAAAGATTCCCTGATATTTGGGCTGGCCACACATAAAGTCAAAAGAATGTCCATGAAGAAAGGGGTGGAAGAAGTCCAAGCTAAAGAAAGCAATAGGCAAGGGTGTTTTGGAGGTGGTTCAATATGAAGCTGTGAACTCTGAACAGGTGTTTTGGACTCAGTTTTATGCGTATACTTTTCTACCAGTTTATCGTGCTTTCTCAGTCATGGATTGTAACAACAAATAGTTCATTTTTCTCTACTTAATCTGTTCAGGACCTTGAGGTTTGTTCCCCTATACCAGCATATTCCTGTCTAGCTCTTGCAACGTAAGAACTACACCATAATCAGCTCCTGGACTTCTCCTTCCCAAAGGAACAGATGTGTATCTTATTTCTGTATCAGCCCCAAGGGAACAGATGGAGACCTTATTTCTGTACCATCAATGAGGTACCAAAAAAAAAAAAAAAAAAAATCTGTTCAGGAGAGCTTGCTGCAGGCACACTGACAGCAAAGAGCGTGTTGAAATAAATGATAAATCTGGAGTTTACAGGTGAGGGGAAGGAGACTAAAAGGGAAAGGTCACATACAAATAAAAAAATCCCAGATGCAGAAGCAAACTTCAGCTGCTGAATGACAGCTCGCAGGATTCATGGCACCAGCTAGCTGCTTGCTTTTGGCAGGTGCTCTTAATTCTTTCAAATGCTGACAAATCAAATACTGCAATTTACAGTCCCATCCCACAAACATGTTGAAATGTTTCTTTCTTGAGCCCTTACGTGATTACTGCTACTGCTGGCTGAAAAGGCTGCAGCTGCAGAGGGCTGCTCGGGCAAGAACCTGTAGTAATGTCTTTAGCCTCCCCTGATACCAAAGGCAAATACGCCCCAGCCCCGCTTTGAACGGTAACAGACTTACCGGCCACGGAGCTGGAAGATGATCTAATGACAAAGCAGAGGAGCCAGAACACTTGGGTTGTCATTTCGAAGTAAAGTTTTTCCAGACTCAAAATGAACTGGAGTCTTTTATGCCCTTCCCCCGATTCATGCTAATGAGAGGCAGTCTTAGGGGAAACGGGAATCACTCACTGGACAACCCACTGGAGCAAGACCAAGCTGCCGCTGTCCCCGCCAGCCTCCCACCACCCCTGCCCAGGCGGAATGTGCACGGACACCCCCCTTCCCATATATACACAAGTCCATGCAGCCTGCAGTCACCTGTGTTCTGGGAATAACACGCAGATGGATGTTCTTAGCAACAGATTTTTATTTTGGGGGAGGGTCTTGCTTGCTACGGCATTTTGTAGAGAAAATCATGCAGAACCAGTATGGTTTTATTGGATATGGAGAACTACATTGTGAAGTGTGACTGACAGATGCTGGAACATGCGTCACCTCTGCAAGTCAGCGTCTGTCATGGATGTACTTTATGATGAAATGTATTCAGGTATTTCTGGCCACCTCCAGTTACACAGCTGGTAATCTTCTCTTTTAGTTTAAGGAACC